CCTGCTGCTCCCCCGCCGCGCTCTTTCTCTTCGCCTCCTCCACCTGCTCCGCGTCGGCTTCCGCCCTCATCCCCTCCTGCGTCTCCTCCTCCGCATTCCTCTACAGCGTCTTCTTCAGCGTCGTCGTGGTCGGGGTCGTCTTCTTCAGCGTCTACCTCGTCGTGGTCGGGGTCGTCTTCTGCAGCGTCGGCGGCACCGGCCGCAAGGCTTCCGCAATCTGGGCCAGCTCCCTGGACGTTTCTCACAAAGAAGCCTGGGCCACCTGCTGTGGTCAACGCTGGCAGGGGCGAACGCGCTCAAGGAACCGGGGCAGCTTGCCGACAAGTTGGGTCAGAAACGCTGGCCCAGCTCTTCAGGAGACTTCTTCAACAGATCCTCGACGGCAGGGCGACTCCAGTTCACCCACATCGTAAGGATGCGTGGTGTAAGGATGCAGGGGTCCTGGGCGCCCATGCCGAGGCCCTTCGGGCGGAGCTGGCCATCGAAAGTGGCCGAGGCCGCAGAGTCAAGGTTTGGCGAGGGTACCCATCGGTCGGAAGAAGTAGGCAGAAACATGAAGCACATTGGAATCAGGGAATCTGGGGACTCGCGACGCGAACTTCGCACCCTCCTGGCAATCTGCCCGCACGGCTCGATTCACGGCAGCCCTGCCCCGCTGCCTCGCCGGCGCAGCGACACCGCCCGGCCGCCGGCGCCAGCAGAAAAACCGTGTGCCGTGCGCTCCCGGCGTGGGCTCGCGACCTCGGCCATGGGCTTCGCCCTATCGGGCCCCAGGGGGGTGGCAAGAGCGCGGAGCCGGGGCGGGCAAGCGTCCCCGGGGAAGAGGAGGAGGAGGCGGAGGACGAGGAGGAGGTGGTGGGTGAGGAAGAGGACGAGGAGGAGAAGGAGGAGGAGGAGCAGGAGCAGGAGGAGGAGGAGGAGGAGGAGGAGGAGGAGGAGGAGAAGGGGGAAAGAAGAGGAAGGGAGGAGGAGGAGGAGGAGGAGAGGAGGAGGAGGAGGAGAGGAGAGAGGAAGGAGGGGAGGAGAGGAGGAGGAGGAGGAGGAGGAGGAGAGGGAAGAGGAGGAGGAGGAGGAGGAGGAGGCAGGAGGGAGGAGGGAGGAGGGAGGAGGGAGGAGGGAGGAGGGAGGAGGGAGGAGCGAGGAGCGAGGGGGGGGGTCGGGGACCTCCTCAAGGGGCCGCGCACGGAGGGAGGCACCTCGTCGGATACAGCGGAGGCCAGTCCACACAAGAAGCCTCCCACAGGAAGCCCAACCCTGAGGCCCCAGGGCGTCCATGGATTTTTGGCGTGCGAACGTCACGCCTCCCTTTGAAACACCATCGGCGCCCAAGAAACCCAGGGCACCCTGGAGGCGAGCAGGGTGGTTCTTGGCATGGGCCCCGCCGCGGCTGGGTTCCCGGGAATCCTGGCCAGAGCCCATCCCAAAGGATGCTCACGGAAGCGTCTTGGTCGTCCCCCTCGCGCCCAGCAGCGCGTCCAGTAGCGCGCCAAGCAGACAGAGTGCATCTCCCCCACATGGCGCCTTATAGGGCGCTGTCTGGGCGCTATCTGGGCGGTCTTAGGCGCAATTGGGCGCTATTCGGCGCTACTTGGCGCTCTGGAGCGTTAGTCGCCGATACATATTCAGTTCAAGACGAGCGGAAACTCCGTGGTTTACTATCTAATGGGGAGGACCCTCTCGCCCGAGCCCCAAGCCCCCCCCCCTTCGAATGTCGCGATCGCGCTTTGGACACCAAATGTAACGACTCGGCGACTCCGAAGGACGTGGTTTGCAAAGGGTGTGGTTTGCAACCCGCACCCTGGGGGGCGGGCGGTGACCTCGACAGAGCTATCCGCCGCGCCCCGAGCACGCCCGACGAAGGCAACTCCTCCTCCTCCTCCTCCTCCTCCTCCTCCTCCTCCTCAACGACTCATATCGCAAACCACACCCTGGCGCAATCACACCCTGTGTCTGTGTGACCGCCGGGCGACGGAATAGTCTCTTGCCTGTGTTCGACCTCCGAGTGCCACTGCTTGGCGGCGCGCAGAAGAGGGTAGGGGGGAGGTGGGCAGGCGTCTTAGAAGGAGGCTGCTTCTTGGAAGGCGCCAGCCCTACATCTACAGACAAGGCCCGCTTCTTCTAAGAAGCAAGGATGCTTCTAAGAAGCCTTCCCCCTCGTCCTACCCCCGTGTGCGCGGTGCGCGCCGCCAAGCTGCTGGGCCCCGTGGCCGTCTCGGGGTCATGGGGGATGGGTCGATAGCCCGTCTCGGGATGAAACGCAGACATTCGACGATGTGTCTTTTCCATCTGCGCTCACGCAGCTCCAAACTCCATCCCGAAGGACACCGTCGGATGTAGGCCAGAAGAACATCCCCCAAGAACATGAGACCCTCCGCCGGCCACAACACACGGAACATGCAGGGGCAGCCTCCCCAGGATGCACAAGAACAGCCAACAACCACGAAAAACACCAGGGCACCCTCCCCGAACCGACCCCGCTCCGATACCTCGGTAAGGCTGTGGTTTCTAGTCCATCCGTCTTGCAGTGGAGGCCAGCCCACGAGAAGCCTTCCACAAGGAGCCCGGGAGTCGACGGTGAATCGTGTCTGTGTGTTTTTCCCCCCTCCTGAGATCCCAGCCCGCCCCCCCGCAACGCCCTCGGCGGGGCGCCGCTGCTGGGTGCGCACCCCGAGGAGGCTGCAGAGCCGCCGGGGCGCGGCGACGAAGACGCGCGAGGCCGTCGAGCCCCGAGGGAGCCCTCCGGACGTGCTCCCGGCGGTGCGGGCGGGGGGGGGGGCCCGACGCTGAGTGGCGCGCGGCCTCCCAGACCTCCAACGCATTGACAAAATCGAGACGGAGGTTTTTTTCTGGATCTTCGGCCTCTACTCACGGCCCTCGCCGGGCCCCGGGACCGTCAACAAAACGACTCAGGATGAATGACCGGTCCTGGGGGATTAGGGTCGAGACTTCCGGGGACCCCTGCCTGCTGTTTCCGCCTGGCCCGTCTTCTGCCCGCCCGCCCGCCCCGCCGGCCCTGGCCTCCCGCCTGGGCGTTCGTCGTCGTCTGCCTGCTTCTCCCCTCCTCGTCCCCTTCCGCCGGACCGCGCAGCCTGCCCGGGACCAGCGTGGCGGCATGTAGGGCTTCGATTCTTCTACAATTCCCAGCCATCCCACGGCATCGGATTTCTCGGGGCTTGCAGGCGTGCCTGGTGCGAGAGAGAGCGCCCGGGCGCACACTAGGTGCCGGGCTGCGCGCGCCCTCGCTGCGCGCGGCCGCTGGCCGCTCGGCGCGTTGG